GTTAGAAGAATATCCACAGTGGTTTGATTTGCAATAGCAAAACATACAAACAAACAAAAACTCCTATAGTCTATATCAACATTCATAGGCAGTAGATTATATGTATAAACTGCTGTATATATTCATACAGTAGAATATTATATCACATGCAAAACTAGTGAAATGAATATGATACTTATCAGGGTTGAATCACCAAACCTTATTTTAAAGAAAAAAAACAAATCACCTGATTCAACTTGTAAAAGCTCAGAATAGGCAAAAGTATATACATATACACAAAGATTTGGAATAAATATTTGTGTATACAATCATATACGGATTCACATGTGGGTATGCATATACATATATGCACATATACATGTACACATAAACATTATAAATATACACACACATATATGCATCTATGTGGTAAAATGATAAAAGGAAACAAGGGCACCACTAACAAGAAGACAGAAGAGTAATTACTTCTGAGGAGGTGAGAAGAGAACATGGTCAGAAAGGCAGAGAGCAGGAAGCTCCCAGGTGATGGAGAAGTTTTCCTTCTTGGTAGGTGAATGGGTCACAGGAGTTCCTTTCGATTATCATTTAAACTGAGCAGAGGAATTCTAAACATTTTTATGAGTATTATTTATTTGAATAAATATATGTATCAGAGAAAACTAAGTTGACAAGGGCTGTTCCTGATGCCTCTTGTGTTCCACTGACTGCAGTCGCCCCTGAGTCCAATCATGGGCTCATCCGTGCACACGCGACATAATTTCATCTCCAGACACCCAGTGCCGCCATGCTTGTCTCCTATGTTACTGCCTCGACAAAAAAAAAAAAAAAAAAGCTAGCACAGAATTTTACAGTCGTGATTGCCAACAGGTATAGGAGGCAGGGCAGGAGAGTGACACCGGCTTCCGAGTTCCAGCTTTTTGGCACTTTCTTTCAAAGGAGTCGATTCATGCTTTAGAGTTCSTCAGGGAACAGACCTTAGTTGGAAGATGACCTTCCCTCAGATTGCTGGCACAGGCAGAGGCTGCCTGTAAAACAAGCAGGCCAAGATGACCCAGCAGAGCACAGGAGCTGGGAGCCCGGGGGAGCCGCCTGGGCACAGGAGGTGGCTCCAGAAGCAATTTGAATGATGAAGTGATAGGCACTAAGTGCAGAGGAAACTCAGAGGATGGGGCAATCAGTCACTGCCAAGCTTATCTCCTGACAAGGAGCGGGGCTCAGCTTCCAGATGTAACATTAAAATGTAATGTTCCCACTGGGACCCCACGTGGCAGGTTTCCCTGACGCTCCGGTTTCACTCAGTTCACTAATTATGAGAAAATGTGACATCGGTATTTACTTTTTCTACRGGGATAAATCTTTCCCAGTAAAAGGGAGAAGTTGTTATTTTTTGTTCTGTTTTGTTTTGTCATTAAAAAGAAATTACTTACACAGCAGTAAATAAACTCTTGTTAGAGGGAAGCAAGATCTTTTTTTTTTTTTCCCCTAGATGATTCTATCAAGCCACTTTAATGCTGACAATCATTTCTTTCATTTCCCAGGGACAAGGGGGGATAAAAGAGCCAGAGTTTGGGTGTTACAACTAGGTTTAAAAATTAATTCTACCACTTACCAGCTAGGTGACCTTAAGCAAGTTATTTAATCAGTCTGCGCCTGTTTTCCTAGCTGTAAAAACTGGAGATGATGCATCTATTTTAGAGTTGTTTTTTTTTTTTTTGTCCAAGAGGAAATAACACAGTTGAAGCATTTTGGCACAGTGCTTTCAAATGAGTGCTCAATAAATTTGAGTCTTTATTCTCAATGATCTTGATATTCTATTATGTAAACACACATAGTTTGCATGTCATTTATGCCGGATATTGCCAATGCTCTATGACCGCACATCCAATCATGAAATGAGTCTTTATTTTGGCTCTACAAGTCAAATTATGTATACAATGTTTTACTTTCCCTCACTCTAAGGTAAAAAGTGTACCCAGTGAAGAGTTAAAACTGATGACAAACTTTAAGGGAAAGTTCTCCCCTAACTACTCCCTGCTTCTTTTAACTTTTCAAATGCCATATGCAATGATAAACAAGCATGTCAGTAAAACCATGCTTCCTCTCACTGCCTGGATGCTAACAAGTAACACCACCATGGATGATGTGCTTGGAACAAATTAGAAGGAGATTTCTCAGATGATTCCCCACTTGAACTTACAATCATGGACGAGATACACAGACTAGATGGAATTAGCCCCACTTTACAGAATGTTTTCCTTTAAACAAACCTAAGAACAAGAGATGGTGGATGGCAAAGCCACTGTATTCCAGCTCTCTATAAAGGGTATCTGAACARATGACAAATGCCAGGGTTATTGGGCTTTTCAAAACTGGATTTTCCCAAGAATGAATTTTCTTTCAATGATAGTCAAAGGGATCAGTTGTTTCAGAGGAAGGCAGGATCACTGGTGGAAAGTGAACAAAATGGAAAATCAAGGGGCATAGGGTTTTATATTCCAATTTCACAATCCATTTGCCTGCCTCAAATTTATCACCCATAAATTTGAGAAATTTGATTCACCTCCCTTACAAGTGTATTGCAATGTCATTGCTGTGTACATGCTATGCAGGATTAATAGCATGACATTCAAGAGGTTTTATGCTAGTCATACTGAATATAAACTTCTGAAAATGTGCAAACATAGGAAATATATGTTGAGTATGAGACAAAAATCCTTGTAATAAGAAGATAAAGACTGGAGATATAGCTCAGTGATAGAGGCGTGAGGCCATGTGTTCAGTCCCCAGCACCACACACACATTAAAAAAAGATACTAACCTTTTTCCAAGGAGAAAAAAAAAAGAGATAGAGATASAAAGTGATAAACAATGAGATAAAATTAGATAAATCAGTATTGCACGTTTGAACTATTTTTTAGAAGCGGCAAAAGCAAATTATGGAGGCATGGACATCTACTACATTTTTTGAAGTCACAAAAATATAACAGACTTCTAGTTGGGATAACATTTCTTCAACTAATTACATACAACTGTTGTTAAGATAATCAATTCTGATGTGCTCTTAATACTGAGAGAGTCTTTCTGGTAGCTATCACCTTTCAAGATCTCAAAGGACTCTCACATATGTTCAGTGATATGTAATAACCTTGAAGGAAGTTCTAGCAAATGACAGAAGAGCAATTCTAAATTCTCTTCCCCTTCTTTTTTTTTTCTTCAATCTGGAACAAGGTATAAGTTCTTATAGATAGGAAGGCAAAAGTTACTAGAGGGCATTAGAAGGAAACCTAGTTCAAAATAAAAACCAAATACAAGTTTCTAGTTTATTTCTTGGACATGGAAGCCCAAGGACCTACAAATCCAATCATAAACCTAGTCATACTAGCAACAATCAACAAAAAGCTTTTAATGATGGGTTACCATTAGGTGGTTGATTACCTAATTCTGATTTAATGAGCCTGAACATAATTTTCTCCATAACTCTTCATAGAACATGATACAAACTTCATTCCAATATTGGGACATGATGTGGCAGCTGGAGAGACTGCCTAAGGCTCCCTCCCATTTCCTTAATTCATTCATTTAATAGATTTTGAGTGTTTTATATTCACTAGAAATTACATCAAAGAACTCACAGTAAGATGGGAAYCAGCTAAATAAAGAATCAAATTTGTGTGTTAAGCCTTAGCATGGAATAMATATTTGGCACAATGGCGAGTAGATCAAAAAGCTCTCGGAGGAAAAGGTAAGCTCAGCAGAAACTGTCCATATGGCAAAGGGAGAAGTCGTTTCCTGCAGAAAGAACAGCAGGGGAGAAAAGCAGGAGATATAAAAATATGGTGTGTTTCAGAATTTAGATGTGGCTCCATATGGCTGGAGTATAAATCATGCATTGGAGAAGAGAAGAAGATGGCAAATGAAACAATCCAAAGTAGAAGAAAATGAAGATTCCATCATTTGGGCTTACTAGTCCACATTAAAATACAGTATTGGAGTGTTCATCACGGATATTGGTCTGCYAGAAAAATGTCACCTCCCAGGTAATAGATTTTGACCATGAGCAGTTGGTGTTGTACAAAGTGATCCAGAGGAAGGAAATATCCAGGTATGGATACAAGGTATGAGACAATCTCCAAAGTCTGGGAAAGACACAGGATCCACGAACTAAAATCTCACATGGATATTTGTAARTGACATAGCATAATTGACTCACTATGTAGCCACTTAAGGACTTTTTTTTTTGGTACTGGGGATTAAACTCAGGGGCACATGATCACTGAGCCACGTCCCYAGCCCTATTTTGTGTTTTATTTAGAGACAGGGTCTCACTGAGTTGCCTAGTGCCACACCATTGCTGAGGCTGGCTTTGAACTCTGGATTCTACTGTCTCAGCCTCCCCAGCCTCTGGGATTATAGGCCTGCACTCCCATGCCTAGCAAGGAAGTTTTTTGAGTGACTGAAAAAAATGACTCTAGAGGTTAAAGGAGACACAATTAGACATTTTATCCTTTGAGTGAACCAGGTGTCTCTTAAAATGTAAACTCAACTCAACTGGGTAACAACTCACATTTACTAACTGGCTTCATCTCAGACTTAGAACATTCTGCAAATGGATGGAGTGGAATATGGTCCCAATGTCCAATCTGGAGGGGTTTGGGAAATATCTATTATAAACTCCCATTTGAAAGATGGAAATCTGATTCAGAGATTTTGTGCCCAGAGTCACAGAAAGTTTCTGGCGGATGAGAACAAATCGGGCAGAATACATTGTTTCCTGACATTAGTCAACCAACATGGTTGATTCCAAAATAATACAAAATATCAACTCCAGCTAGCATGATAACTTTTGAATTGTGTTTGACATTCATACAAAAAAAAAAAAMAAACACCAAGGCCAACATTTAGAGATACTTTCTTAAATAATTCTTCACTTTGACAGTGAAACTCCTAAGCCAGAGCTCAAATTTTAATACTGAATTAATATAAATAAGATGGATTCTTACCATGATCTTCAGAAGAGACTGGTGACCTAAAAGGAGAAAATGTGCACAATAAATATTTTGCATATAATAATRATTAACAATCATCACAAATGAYTTCATAGAAATGATACTCCCCAAATCCAGTTAATTAGAAACTATCAATAGAGTGCAAAGTTTAATTAAAGTACTAGTTGCATAATTTATTGCAAATTAAAAAACCCTAAATCTTACCTGGATTGGTTGGACAGCAGGGGTTACTAAAATGTCAGTCTATGCATGATATCACTGGGCTTCAACAAACTTAAGACAGTCTGAGCTTATGACAGATAAAAGCAAAATAGAAATATGGTGTTGGGTGAAGTTCTGTGATATCACCTAGTGCTCAGAGCCAAGCCTCCAGAGAAAATGCTAGGAATGCAAGGGGCATTAGGTTATGTGTGTGTGTGTGTGTGTGTGTGTGTGTGTGTGTCTACTCAGTCAAAAATGAGACAGAAGTAAAATAAATGACATGTGTCTTTACCATTACTATTTTTTCCACTCTTTCTGGAATTTTATGTTTGAGTGAGCTTGAGATAAGACTCTCTGTATGCTGGCTTTATTCCTCTAAGAATATGAGAAATGGTTGAGGCAAGAAGTCAACCACTAGAGTCTAACCAACTTTCATAAACTAATCACTTTTATGTACCATCTGTGGGTTCATCTCAAATTATGATAGTTAAATATCAAATGAAGCATTGTGTCAACCATAAAAGTCTTCCCYCCGCCTCTGTTGACTCCTAATTGAGGCACTCTGTGCAACAGAGTCAGTTTTGTAGATTAACTCACCTCTATCTCCAAAGATTACAGTTTTAACTCCCAACTTTTTTCTTTCTAGGGAAAATTAGTGACATGTAGCCCTATATTCAGAGTTGTTGGGATTTTGAAGGAAAACCCAAGAAACTATACASTTCCCTCATTCACGAGGAGTTCTCTGAGTGAATTCATACTACACTGTGCAACAGGAAGTTGACCAAAGATAGATTCAGGCAATTAAATCCTTCTATTACTATTTATTTATATTTAGGACATAATRATACATATTGGGGCAAGAATGATTYAGCATATAGTGACACAGCTACATCAATATTTAACAGTTGCACAATTCACAATAGCTGAGCTAAAAAGTCAACATAGGTGCCCATCCACAAATGACTGGATAAACAAATTGTGGTAACTAGGTATGGTAGCAATCCTAGTGGTTTGGGAGGCTGAGGCAGGAGGATCAAAAAGCTAGCCACAGCAACTTATGAGGCCCTAGGTAACTTAGTGAGACACTGTCTTCAAAATAAAAAATTTAAWAAGGGCTAGCAATGTGGCTTAGTTATTAAGTACCCCTGGGTTCAATAAATAAATATCTAAAAGAAAGAAATTGTGATATATACACACAATGTAATATTACTCAGCCATGAAGAAGAATGATTTTATGTTATTTTCTGGTAAATGGATGGMTCTGGAGATTATTATGCTAAGTGAACTAAGCCAATTCCAAAAAACAAAGGGCAAATATTTTCTTTGAAATGTGGAAGCTGACCCAGGATAAATTGGGGAGGGGATAGATATTCAGTGGATTATAAAGGGCAATGAAGGGAAGGAATAGGGAATAAGAATAGGAAAGACATTGGAAAAAATCTGACATAACTTTCCTATCTAATATATATATGAATATAGCCCAGTGAATCCCACCATCATGTACATCCACAAGACTGGGGCTCTAATTAGAATAAGATATACTTCATGCTTGTATAATTGTATCAAAATGGACTCTTCTGCCATGTATAACTAAAAAGAACCAATTAAAAAAASAATTTTAAAAAAGAAGATTCAGCAGAATGATTTGGACTGTTGATTCTGTTCTACTAATTAATAAATTTCTTTCTATTATGGGAGTAAACAGTTAAGTATAAAGATATGGTAGTAGTGGAAAGAAAAACTTTGAACCTCCACTAGTAACAAAATGTCAAAAATTTCAACCTGATGCGTCTCTCCAAGCAGACTTTTCCATGTGAAAACTACAGAGGATCCCAAGGTTTTGGTAGAAAGGAAATTGGCGTTTGGGGCATGGATGTGGGAGTAGTGAGCAGAAGCTTGTCACAATCTCTAAGTGTGGCTGCCTGAGAAACAGCATACTACACTTTCCCTCTCTGCAGAGCTGGCTTACCTGCCCCCACTGGGATTTCCCCGTTTGGTAGTGTCACACACTGGTCTTCTCACTAGGTTGCACTCCTCATGCAAACTGGAASTGTATCTTATTTAGAATAAGTATGTCCTGGACTTCAGAAATGTTGAATTGATTTAATTTTGCTACTATCATGCTTATATTCAGACTCAGGAACATTCTGGATCTGGTCAAAAAATCATGATGTTACCTTCAAATGACCTTCAAGACAACTTGGCCTGATTTTTGAGTTCAGCTGCGAGAAAACAGGCCTTGGCAAAGAGCCTGAAGCTCCAGGTTGCTTACAATGTGGGTACTTTTAGAGTGAAAGGATGCAAAACACCCAACAACAGAGACACCCCTAAACTGTTTTAATGCTAAGAAAAATAGAGGGGTGGGAGGTATGGAATGGAAGGAGACATAGGTTTGGCAAGCAAATCCAGAGAAACATATTTGAAACAAAATGAGCCAATTGCTTAAACTGCATTAAGAAATAAAAAGAAGTTTTAAGTTCATAAAAAGGAGTTAGTAAGAGGGAAATATCTTTACTTCCAGTAAAGATTAGAAATAAGCAAAAATATGTCTTGGATATTTCCAATTAATTTTTCACAGAGCTACAGGAACAAAGAAAAATCCATGGACAACTGAGTGTCTCGGGTACAGAGCTCATGAAGCAGGGCCTTTGCTGACCTTCTGTAAAAGCAAAGCACTAATATTATACTTGAAAAATTCCAGATGGCTCCATTAAAGTCTCAAGGGGATGCATTCCACAGTATATGCAGGCAGTGGGGAAGAACTATCGATTTCAGAGTGTTTTGCAAGGATTAGTCATGTTGAGTTTCTGTGCTGAATGTCTCCCACACGCCTGGATTTGTGGAATTTTAAGACATATGGAGTACCTCAATCCTCACTCAGTATTTCACCTTTCACTGCAACAAGTCACTAAATTATACCACTGAGACATGCATATCATCCATTATTGCTAGAAATGGGCAGAAAAAGTTTTACAGAACTTAACTCAAGAGAAAAGAAATATTCTGAAATCAGCAATAGAAGTGGTTATTTTTAAAACTGCGGTTGAACCTCAGGAACATATCATCTTCCTCAAGCTGACAACTGAGACATGCAGGAAAGCCCAGTGCTTATTCTTCCCACCATACCTGAAAGACATGTTTTGCTCTTTCCCAGACGTGGTTCACTTTTTCTCCATGTGATACATAACTTAGACATAGCATCTGWCCTTACAACGTAAACCCTTACTAACATTCCCAGCGACAACATGATTTACCATTATTTTCACTACTTTCTTGTTCAGGAGTCTGCTATTATAATCTCATAATGTTTATGCTTTGGATGTTTTATTTATTAATTTTGGAATTTTTGTACATTTTTATTTCGTTCAAATTCAGCAAAGTAAAACAGAAAACAAAGCAAAAATTTTAGCCTCACGCTTAAAATTCTATTTTATTAAGCCTAAATAATTATTATTCATCTTTGAATCTTTCAATTCATGTTGATTCAATTTATTACTGGAGAACTCTTTATGTACATCTTTATGCTAAGTGACGGAGATATGAAGAACAATTTCAAAGAACTCGTAATCTAGTGAAGAAGAAAAATACATAAGCACATGATTATGATATAGTGAAAARTGTAATTATCAAACTAAATAAAGAGGTAGCACAGAGCAGAGAGAAAGAGCGAAAGAAGAATTTAAAAAGCAAGAACCATCTAAACTGGGCTTTAGGRAATAAATAAGAGCTTGTTAGATAAGAAAGGATTCCAGACAGAAGCAAAAGACATATAAGAAGGAGAACAGATATGAAATTTCATAGTGTGTTATCAGATGTATAAGTAACTCAGTATTGCTAAACTGTAAAGGATTTGATAACGGCTAGGACTAGGTAAGTAAGAGGCAGGGGCCATTTCATATCAGGCCCCTGGGGTCCTTTTGAGGTGCCCGCCATTTACCTTCTAAGTCAAACAGTGTAAGCAACATATTCTGGTTTGTATTTCTGAATGAGCAGGCTGTGGAGAGTAGTCCATAAAAGAGCAAGAAGACAAATTAAAAGGCAGAAGACAAATTAAAGACCATCATAGCAAAACATCCAAGATAATGAGGCACAATAAAAATCTGTTCTTCAATTCTCTTTGAAACATACAAAAAATAATAGGGAGGAAAAAGACCAGTGAAAGAAACACCACCTTTGACTAAACTAGATGTTTATAAACGTAGCCCATCATATGTTAAGAAGAGCTATCAAGTATAGAGAAAATGGCACCAAGTTTCAGGGGAACAAAGAGTTTCAATCATCTCAGTTGAAGAGACACATGCTAATCACGAATCACAAAACCTATGGTAGAAAGCCCCACTGTGAGCCAGGATGTCCTGTTGGTCAGAAGCTGGACCACACCCTTAAAGAGACTGTAGATGACGGACCTGAAGTCAAAATTTCAGCAACCTGCTAATCCTAATCATTCACTGCAAGCCAGAAGTTCCCCAAAAGAACTCACCCAATGCAAATTTTATGAATAATCCAAAAAGAACTATTGTGATATCTTGACAAAAATACCATAAGAAGAAAACCAAGTGTAGGCAGAACACACTCAAAAGATGTCAGTATGGAGCAGGTAAAAAGGTAAGAACTGCCAATAAATGTCCATGAAACCTAGAAATGGAAAMATGGGGATACAGGGTGAGGTGGTGAACACCTCTAATCCCAGAGACTTGGGAAACTGAAGCAGAAGGATCACAAGTTCAGGCCAGCCTGGGCAACTCAGTGAGACCCTGCATCAAAATAACAAAACAGAACAACAACAGCAAAATAAAACTGAAAAAGAGATGGGGTTGTA